TGGTCCTGACAGTCCTTCTGAGAAGGGAAGGCCAAGGAGTCTACACAATTACTTTGCTGCACTACTGTCCCTGGACTCTGTACCCGCACATTCAACATGCTAAAAATATTCAAAATACATGTGCATGAACACAGAGGTGTATGTCATTCATTAGTCCTCAAACAATAGGATCTAGCTAGTGTCTGTGCAGCACTCAGGACATTGCACTAGGCTGCAAGTCCTCTAGGAGTGATTTGGAGTGCACACAGGCACACATTCGGGTTATATATAGACACTGCTACTTTACACAGACACTTGAGCTTCCTCAGGTTTGGGCACTTGTGGAAAGTGAATACAGCAGTCAACCCCACATAGATACTGGGAGGTGACTCTAATTTAAGCCCCAATCACCTGAAGAAGCCCTTTTGAGATACCACTAACAAGGAAGTGAGTCATGGCAAACACCAGGGGTAGGAACCCAGAGCAAAGCTTTGCCACAGAGAGGCTGTCAACAGGCCCTAGTGTCCGGGGCTGTTAGAAACCCATAGTAGCAGATCTGAGCATCCCGCTGCAGGCTCCTGGTGGGTGTTGGAAAAAGTCAGGGTCCAAGCAAGGCCTGGCATGCAGGAAGCCCCTAGAGGGTTTCTGGGACTGGGAGAGTGCAGCGGGTGGAGCAGGCATGTGTCAGAGATCACTCTAGGAAGCTCCCACAGACCGGAGCTTCACCAGCTGCTTCCCCACTGAGATGAACAGGCTCTAGGTGTCAGCCCAGACAATAGGCTGAAATATGCTGGTGTCAATAGCATCCCCACTCATCACCCATCTCAGGGTCTCAGGACATCTGAGCCCACCTTCACGTCCCATGATGGTGTCTCTGGTCTTCAGTTCCATTTCCGGCTGTGTGGGGGCACATGTGCACCTGAGCAGTAAAAATCGTCTCAAGTTTGCGTCCTGGCCATTTTCCCTCTTGTGACTTCCTGCCATTCTTAGTTAGACTACCACCTGATACCCCCTGAGTAACTGTTCTCATGTGTGGTCTGAGGCTCTGGCTGCCTTTATACCTTTGTTTAAGTTCAATGTCACACTGATGAAATCAGCGTTTCTCTGAGGGGAAATATGCTCTCTCCACTTTTCATGAGATGTACCACCCCCCCCCCCCCGCTTCTTGCACAAAGACTGTCACTCACACGGTTTTAGTCAGTTTCTGTCTGTCAGCACAGTCTTTGCTAACAGTGATCAACCTAAAATTTAAGTAGACTTCCTTTTCCCTTCAGGCTTTCTGCCATGAGATACTATGTAGCCAGTACAAGGAATGAGGCGGTATTTCCTGCCCAGAGTGGAAAAATGGTCCCTGTACAGTGTTCATTTTAAAGCACGATTGTGTGAAAGCCTGCTCAAAGGATCTTATTCCCTCAATCTCCTCCTAGGGCTCAAACCTGGGTGTCTTGATCTCTGAACTCTGGGGACAGGGTCCTGTGTGGTGCCTTCATGCACACTGTAGTGTTGTCCGTGGGTAGTTTGCTGGGACTCCGGTCTGGGACTGAACTTTGGAGCTGGTTCCTTGGCCCACTGTGTGATTTCATTTCTGTTCTCAGAGTTGTGCAGGCTTGTAGGAGTAAGCCAGTGCTATCCCCTTACCAGGTCAGGTTAAGATCTGGTGGAGAAGAAATAGTCTCCTGAGGTGGCTGTAAGAAACGGCCATAGACTCAGCAGCTTTTGACAACAGATGCTTGTCCCTCATAGTTCTGGAGGACGAAGAATGAAGGCAAGATATTGGTAGAGCCAGACTTCCCACCATGGCTCTGCAGACTGCTTCTTCCTTCCCCTTTCAGCTGTGGTGACTGTCCTAACATTCCTGGGCAGCGACTGCATCACTCCAATGTGTTGCTGAATCTTCACAGGACTGTGTAAGTGTAAGGATAGATTTGATGGCATTAGGTCCACCTGGTACCCTGGGGCAAGCTCCCTTCAAGGTCTTCCTTATGTCTTTAGTCACAGGGTGTTATTTACTGGCTGTTGGGATCAGACAGATGTATTGTTGGGGAATTATAGTATACCCCAATGCAACGCCTGTGATATCAATGCTGTGGTGTTGGAAACACAAGCCATACTAGGTCCTAAAATAGAAAGTCCAGCAGTTAGCCAATGGCCAAATGTGTAGTGTATCCATGTGCTAGATACAGAGATACCTGGACTCTGTCATTCTTTGTTGCTCTGATCTCTGTGTGTCCCTGGGGGCCACTTCCAGATCTCTTTGCCAGGTTCAGCCCCTGTGGTTCCCCAAGGGGAATAGCCACAGGCCTATCTGTGTGTGTGTGTGTGTGTGTGTGTGTGTGTGTGTGTGTGTGTGTGTGTGTGTAGTGGAACTGTAGACATGAAAATATTGCCATATGATTGTGCAGTGAACAGATGTCCTTGGACAAGACTAATTTCTTGGAATTCTGATCAGCAAAAGCTGTAAAACTTCAAAATCTTGGGAATTCTGTAGGTGCATTACACCCTGGCTTTTGGCACACCTCTAGGAAAGGAGCGATGGTTTCTGACACCTACAGTCAGTGGCAGGTCTGCTCTGACAGGTCACAGCTCTCCACTCTGAGCCCAATTCAGTTTGTGAAGTTCCAGAGGTTCAACGTGTCCTTTCTACTTTCCATGGTATGACATCAGAAAGGGGAAAAAATCTGGAGTCTTCCTCTATGCTGAGGGTAAGAAACTTGGTTCTAAATGGTCTGTGATGTGATTTTTTCTCCCCATTTCCCAATTCTCTAATAAACTAAGTAACAGGGCAAACAGGTGACCTCAAGAATCCATGTACCAGTGCACATGTGGGTGATTTTTGCGTCATTGTGACCAAAACATCTGATAGAACATTAAAGAAGGAAGGTTTATTTTGTCTCACAGCTTCAGAAGGGTGTTCATAGCTGCTTGGTCTCAGGTACTTGAGCAAAACATGAGGTCAACAGTAGAGTGGCGTGAATGAGTCTCACCCCAGGACAGACAGCAAGCAGAGAGAAGGGGATAGAGGAAGAATCCAGGGCAGATCTAGCTCTCACCTTCAGCCCAGTGACCTACTTCCTTTACCTCTACCTGTCAGTAACTCTCAATAATGCCACCACATTGTGAATTCATCAAAAGATTTGTTCGTTGCATAAGTTTTAGCCTATGATCTGATTGTCTGAAGGCATTGGGGTCCTTGACATGGCCATGCTGATGTCAATGATACACATTCATTCAGGATTTCATCTGCTCCTCACACTTTGGGCTTAGATCAAGGGATTGGTCTAATCAAATGCCCTTGCCTGCTAACCTTCTCCCTTTTGGGTATGAGTTCCATCACCACCATTACCATCACAATAGCACATTAATATATTAGAGGCAGGAGGGACAAAGACCCAAGACCTGGCCTGCTTCCTTCTTCCTCATGCCTCCACCTCTGAGGCCATCTGGGAACTTTTGTTCCGAGTCCTCATCCAGTCCTACATCAGTCTTCACACACTTACTCTTCCATCCACCAGGCTCTCTGCAGGCCACCAGCATCAACTGAAACCAACCAAGCCTGGTGTCAATAGGCAAAGCCTTTGGGTATTTTGATTGAATCCAGACAGGATCTGTGGCTTATTTATGAACTCACATGACTTCTGACTTCTGCCTTTTTTGTCAAATTGCTGACATGTTCTTAAATTACCCAGTTTGTATTTGCCTGTCTTCTCTGTTTCTTGGGAAGATAAAGCCTCGGGCATGTGGGCTTCCTCTGCTCACAACAGCGAAGGTTTCATTGGGCTGCTGTCACACACCCAGACCACAGGAATCATTTGAGCTCAGTATTTAGCCCCAAGGAGCTACACAAGAGCATGGTGAAGAGGAGAGGCCTACTGTTTAATCTGCATAGCTACAGAACATAAAATTTTGTGAGAATTAAAAGAATTCCCAAACATCATTTGTGCCTTGGCAGGCTGCCCTCTAATGGTTTACAGAGATCTAAAGAACTATCAGTTGCTTTAAGGGTTTACAAGATGGTGAACATTAGAGAAGTGTTTGCCAAAACCCACAAGCCATTTTTTTAGAATGGAAATGTCCTATAGGTTTGGGGGCAGTTACCTTTGTCGTCTTAAAAACATTCCAAAAGATTTTGCCTATGACCTGTTACCTGAACTCAACCCAAGTCTCCATAACCCAACTCCTTCTGGAAGATACTAACCATTCCAAAATTTAGCACTCCTTCAAGGTTCAGACTGGGCCTGATTAACACATTGTAACTTTCAAATTAAGGACAGGAATTGCTCCATCATCATTCTATTTCTACAGTTACTCTGTAGATTACTCAATAGAGGACATCAAAGAATGTAGAGAGCAGCAGCCTCCCACACTGTAGTTGGGATTGTCACTTCTTAAAAGGAAACTCTCAAGTGCTTTACCTAAGCCTCCTTAGTTGACTCTCGTGAATTTGATCTGGATGTTAAAGCACCAGCCCCTGGCCTCATCTGCCTTAGATATATACACACAGCCTTAGGATAACCATTGCTGGACTCTGCTGAATCAAAATCGGTCCACAAATCTTGGGATACTCCCTTCAAATGGTAGATCCCTCTGCTTAAGTATGGACAGACTTAATAGTAACACTCTTTGGCCAGATAAAGGAAAGATGGAGTAATGGGTGTAATCTAGTGATCACTGTCGAGTGATGAATTGCTATGAACTTGCCACAAATAACACTAAGGGGTTATCTCACAGTTCTGTGAGTCAGAAATCCAGGTACCACGTGACGCAGTCTTCTACCCGGAGACTCACAAGACTGAAAGCCAGGTGCTGGCTAGGACTGGGTTCTCTACTGTGTCTAGCTTGTATTATCAGTAGAATTTGGGTCCTAGAGTTATAGACTGACAGCTGCAAAAACTCTCAGCTCTCAGACCTGTTCCTGGGACCTTGAGAACTGAGCCCCATCCATAACATGAACTTTGTTTATTGGATTAGCACTTTTACCTTCAAATTCCTCTAGTTCATGTTAAAAGGTTGCCTACCAAAATATCTCCTCCTTGAGTATTGGGGGCTGTCTTGGAATTCTGTTTGCCACAGCAGGTCACAAGTATCTTTAGCTCTCAAGAAACACAGCTGCCATACACTGAGTACATCCAAGCAGACTTCTGGAGAGGCCAACACTGGTGTAATCTCTTGACTGCCTTTAATCAAAAGCCATATGAGAAGTTGTGAGGAAACCAGTTCTGTAAGCCCTGCTAAGTCTGCAGATGATACCTCCTCAGCATCCATTCTCCCTCCACTCCCACACAGGCTCTGGCCCACAGCCACCCAGCCTGACTGCTTCTAGGTCCCTAACCTGTAAACTCCTGGCACAGTGATAAGTACTTACTAAGTGGAGACGGATAGTTAGAGGTTATGCAGTACTCATGCATGCACTGTCGTATGCTTCAGGAAAGCAATTGTTGACAGTGAAAAAATGCTGCATTGCAACATGGCAAGAAAAATTTCAACAGTGCTGTCTTCCAGGACCCAAAGACAGAGGTTTCATCTGGGCCTTTGTCACATTCTCAGTTATGCTGTGGTCACCACTGGCTCCTGTCCCTCTTCTATGGGAGGTGACAAGCCATGTTGCCAAATAACCAGCCCATTCCCTGGAGCCCTGCTGCTTCCTGGTTCATTCCAAAGTCTTCCCAACATCTTCCCGGTTCTGATTTGTCCTTAGCTCCACACTGAGAACTGAGCTTGCCATCTGGCTATCCTTCTGTGGTCTCCTCGCTTTTCTCTTTCTAACTGTCCCTATTTGTGCCATTGAACGTGGAATGTGAACTCAAGCTGGCATGATGAATAAGAAGAAGGCTGGGACCTCCTGGCCTGGGTTTGAGTGCCATGGCTTAATTTAAGTCATTTCACAACAGGAAGGGAAACTCATGATGCTAGGCTGTTTCTCCCCCACCCTCACTCCACCCCTCTCCAAGCTGTGAATTCAGCATGGGATAACAAATCATAGCATCTCTGCATCCTCCCTCCTTTGTCAGCTCCACACCCTTTAGAAATTTCTAGATAGTGTGGAGAATCCCAAGGGCCCAAAGGGGCCAGATGCCTGGACTGCATCCTGTGCCTAGAAGAATGAACGAACAGACTTGACTTCAGAACATCTCTTGTTACTGCCCGATGGACACCTCTGCCAGTCCTATGAAGAGCCGGGAACAAAGGATTCTTCGAGCTTCCCTTCCACCAGTACAGAGCAGGGAGAAGCTGCCTTTCTGAGCAGTAGCAAATCCATGTGACATGCCACTCCAGACGAAACAAAGCTGGGGCCGTGACTATTATTATTTCAAGTCAGTTCATCTTGAGCTGTCAGTGGCCAGGAGGCACACGGTAACACAGTCCAGCTCCCTTGCCAGAGCTCGCCTCTGGGAATCGTTAGCTCTACACGGGATGTGCCTGGACCTAATCTAGTCCAAAGCCAGCTACTTCACTCAGTCGATTAGAACCTGCCTGGATCCTGTTCTCCCCACCTTGGCAGGTGTGCAGAAACCTCCAGGGACACACTCCCCGTGCAAGTGGGACCATGTGTCTAGAGAGCAGCCACAGGAACCTGTAAGAAACTAGATTCTCCAGCTAGTGAGTCACTTTCCTGCCCTCTGCTCACTAATTACCAGACCAGAAGTGTGATGCTGGAAGGCACACACTATTACAAGAAGAGAGAAGAGAGGTCCCAAGACACAGTCACCCAGACGTTCTTTCCCATATCACTGAAATAGGATGGGAATCAATGCCCAAGCACCATGGGAGAAGGAGGCCAACCAATAGACAGGTTGTGGAGGAGGCTACAGCTGTGCCCACTCTTTCCTCCATCTGCACTTTCTGAGGCCAACATCTGTCTCTCTATGAGAATTTCCCTCTCACTTTATAGTAACCGTGAGCCTTTATTGAACCAACCCAAACACATACCTTTACCTTCCTTTTGTCTCTCCAGGTTCTTGGCTCTCCTCAGGCTTTCTCCTAAGCTTACTGAGCTGTAGAGTGTCTCTTCTCCATCAAGTCTACCCTGAGCTTAGACCTCGTGGCTATGGAAAGCCATTTAGCGTACATCCTGCTAGTGGGTATGCCCTGTCTGAGTCTGTGTGAGCAATGTGGTGCCTCATCCTTTGAGCACTTCTGACAGTCCTGGCAGGAAACAGAGCCCATGAACCCCAGGTTCTCAGGGCTCAGGTCCTCCAGGTGAGTCCTGCTCTGGGCTCTGAAGAAATTGGAAGCTTCCAGCAGGGACCTGGAAGTTCTGAGCCATCTATCTGTGACAGACAGACACATAGAGGGTTCAGTCCTTGTCTACTCCTGAGGACTGAATTCCATGTATGACTGCACACCAAGACCCTGCCCTGCACGGACCCAATAAAGACATATAGCTGGGAAGTAAGAACATCCAAGGACTCATTTGTTTTCTCAAAACTGTGACTCATAGGCTACGATGTTGTCAGTGAGACAAAGCAAAATCATGTGACTTGGACATCATTTAGAGTAAAATATTGAAGTAATTAGTAGTAACTCAGTCACTGTATTTAGGCCAGTTAAACTCCCAGGGACAATATTCAATAAAATGTGTCATTTACATCACTTACTTCTGGTGTCTTGGTTTTCACCATCCATACAATGTAGACAAGGAAAGCAGCGATGTCACTTGTCACTTGGATGCTTTGAAGATGGAGAGAATGCACAGCCACAGCCTAGAACACAACTGGTCCCTATTTCATTCCCAGGACATCTGGGCTGGGATGCGGGAACAAGAAGATGCAACAGAGATAGAATCAAATTCAAGATGACAGCAGAGGATGTGAGTGACAGGGCTTTCCCAGGGAACAATTAGGGCTGTCTTCAGGGAAACCTGGGCTCAGGAGTTATCAGAATTTGTTAGGGGAACCCACACACTGCTGCAATTTATCCTCACAAAGAGTAAGAGAAAAGGGATTTTCTGGATCACCTACAGTAAGAAGTCGCAGTTGGAGTTCACATGAAGGTCTAAGGAACTTGGACTTGGTGTTGGCACCAGTGACTTTCAGTGTTTTGGGCCATGGCCCAAACACCTCGGTCAGTAGCCTGGAATGTTCAAGGCCCTGGCTCAGCCCATGGGGAAAACCTGCTGTTAGCTAGTGACAGAGTGGCCAAAGCAGGTTTTGCTTTCTTCAGGATGTGGAAGGAAAATTAGAGACTGTGAGGAGCCGCCCTCGCTATCGCTATTGCCGTTAGAAGATGGCGCTGACATCTGTCAGTTGGAGTTAACCGTTAGAAGATGGCGCTGACATCTGCTGTCAGTTGGAGTTAACCGTTTAAGCTGTGCCTCTCCCGTGGCGTCATCTGGGGTGATGTGCAAACCACCAATCCCGGCTCTACACGTCTCACTCGGAGCTCCTAGGCTTATATAAGGGGCTGGGTTTCTTAGCTTGGGGTCTCCCTCTAAGAAGCTGATCATCTATCTCTCAAGATGCATTAAAGCTTTACTGCAGAAGGATCCGAGTGTTCTGCGTCGTTCTTGCTGGCGAGACGGTAGCGCGGGACATCTGGTGCCGAAACCCGGGAACTCTTCAACATCGCCGGCGCTGCGGGAGACCCCTCGGAAGACGGGGCGGATTCAGAACTGCAGGGACGTAAGTTCAGAGAGGTATGCTTTATCCTGAACACCCCTTTTCTCAACTTTGGCCTTAGTTTGTCATCACCGTGGGACGGGTCAGTGGAGGCTTTGGTGCTAGTCCTGTTTGTCCTTCTCCTTCATCGTGGCTGGTGCTGACAGAACGGTGCTGTCAGTCTGGTGCTGTCAGTCTGGTGCTGTCAGTCTGGTGCTGTCAGTCTGGTGCTGTCAGTCTGGTGCTGTCAGTCTGGTAACGGAGTTGAGCGCCGTTTTTTAGATAAGCCGCCAGCGCGATGGGGTTGTCACAGTCAGTGGTTACTGCCCTACAGACTGTGCTAAAACAAAGAGATCTTAAAATTGCACCACGAACACTTCAAAATTTTGTGAAGGAGGTAGATAGAGTGGCACCATGGTATGCTTGTTCCGGGTCCCTCACTGTGGCCTCATGGAACAAGCTAGGTAAAGAACTAGACAGGAAGCATGCAGAAGGAGATCTCCACTTAGGTACCAAAGCCATTTGGAAGCTAGTTAAAAACTGCTTGGAGGATGAGGCCTGTCACCCTGCTATAATAGAAAGTCAGGGAACCTTAGAGGAAGTTCAGGATAGCATGTCAGAAACTGAACGGAGTGAGAGAATGGGAGCTCGCAAAAGGAAAGACATGTCTAAGAAAAAAGGCCCTCCCAAAGAAGTTAAGAAAGGGGGAGAGAGAGAAGGGAGTGATCATTCACCCCCTAACAAATCTAAGAAAAAGAAAAAGCCAGAATCTAGTCTATACCCTACAGTAGAGCTAGAAGCCTTGGAGCTAGATAATTCTGATTCTGACACTCTGTATTCTAGCGAAGAAGGTGGTCTAGAGGAGGAGGTGGCACGGTATGAGGAAGAAAGATATCACCCTGATAGACACCGGCCACTGAAAACAAAAATGAATGTGAGGCCACCGCCTATAAATCCGGCGGGCTCACGCTCCTCAGCGCCTCCGCAGTATGAGCTTCGGCTGAATACTGGTACTGACTCCTTTTTACCTTTAGAGGAACGGAGAAAAATACAAGTAGCTTTTCCAGTATTCGAGAATGCGGAAGGCGGAAGAGTACATACCCCTGTAGATTACAATCAAATCAAAGAATTGGCCGAATCCGTTCGTAATTATGGGGTCAATGCTAACTTTACCACATTACAGGTGGAAAGGCTTGCTAATTTTGCCATGACTCCCACTGACTGGCAGACGACAGTGAAAGCAGTGCTTCCCAACATGGGACAATACATGGAATGGAAGGCTCTCTGGTATGATGCAGCCCAGGCACAAGCTAGAGTTAATGCCACGGCTGAAGATGAGAATCAGAGGCAGTGGACATTTGAAATGCTGACAGGTCAGGGTCAACATGCCCTTAATCAAACCAACTACATCTGGGGTGTCTATGGTCAGGTGTCGGCCGCCGCTATTAAAGCATGGAAGGCCCTCACAAAAAGGGGAGAGTCCAGTGGACACCTTACAAAGATTGTCCAAGGACCCCAAGAGCCATTTTCAGACTTTGTGGCCAGAATGACAGAGGCCGCCAGTCGCATCTTTGGTGATTCAGAACAAGCTATGCCCCTGATTGAGCAACTTGTCTATGAACAAGCAACCCAGGAATGTCGAGCGGCTATCGCCCTCGCAAAAGCAAAGGTTTACAAGATTGGCTCAGAGTGTGCAGGGAGCTGGGGGACCCCTAACCAATGGAGGACTAGCTGCCGCCATTTTACAAACGCACAGGTATAGAGATTTATCTAATCGAAAAGCTTGTTTTAATTGTGGGAGAATGGGGCACCTTAAGAAAGATTGTCAAGCCCCTGAAAGAACAAGAGAATCGAAGCTTTGCCATCGTTGTGGTAAAGGTTATCATAGGGCTAGCGAATGCAGGTCAGTCCGGGATGTAAAAGGGAGGCTTCTGCCCCCTATTGAAGAACCCAAGGTACCCCAATCAAAAAACGGGTCACGGGGCCCATGGTCCCAGGGCCCTCAGAAATATGGGAACCAATTTCAGAAAAGCAATCAAGAGGAAGTAGAGGTTTCCGAGGAACCCCGGAATGGACTTGCGTGCCGCCTCCGACTTCTTACTCATGCCCCAAATGAATGTTCAACCGGTCCCAGTCCATTCCCCTGGACCTTTGCCCCCTGCCACCATTGGGCTTATTCTGGGCCGTGGCTCCTTAACTTTACAGGGACTCATTATATATCCTGGGATTGTTGACCCGTATCATAAAGAGGAGATTCAAGTTCTCTGTTCTAGCCCTCGGGGTGTATTTTCTATAAAGCAGGGAGATAGAATTGCACAACTGGTGTTGCTGCCCTCCCTCGGGGATGGAGAAACCTACACTTTACAAAAAAGGGCTATGGGATCTTCTGGAAGTGATTCAGCCTATCTGGCTATACCCCTAAATGAGAGACCTACAATAAAATTGTTAATTAATGGAAAAGAATTTGAAGGGATAATGGATACGGGAGCAGACAAAAGCATTATTTCACTCCATTGGTGGCCGAAGTCTTGGCCCACTGTTGTTTCATCTCATTCTCTACAAGGTCTTGGATACCAGTCCTCTCCTGCCATCAGTGCCTCAGCCTTAACCTGGCGGAATGCTGAGGGCAAACAGGGATGTTTTACCCCCTATGTGTTGCCACTCCCTGTAAATTTATGGGGACGGGATGTGTTACAAGCCATGGGCATGACCCTAACTAATGAATACTCCCCCAGGCATCAGCCATTATGGCAAAGATGGGGTATACAAACGGTAGAGGCTTGGGTAGGCAAGAACAAGGCAGAATAAAACCCATTACGCAACACGGAAATCGGGGTAGAAAAGGACTGGGTTTTATTTAGGGGCCGTTGAGGCTTCACGACCCATACCATGGAAAACAGAGGAGCCGTTATGGGTCTCTCAATGGCCTCTATCCTCTGAAAAATTAGAGGCTGTCACAAGATTAGTGCAAGAACAGGAACGGCTGGGGCATCTAGAGCCTTCTACCTCCCCATGGAATACACCAATTTTTGTTATTAAGAAGAAATCTGGGAAGTGGAGATTACTCCATGACCTGCGGGCCATTAACAATCAGATGCATCTTTTTGGCCCTGTTCAAAGAGGACTTCCTTTGCTTTCTGCACTCCCTCAAGATTGGAAGCTTATTATTATAGATATTAAGGATTGTTTCTTCTCTATTCCACTTTACCCACGGGATAGACCAAGGTTTGCCTTCACTATCCCTTCTCTTAATCATATGGAACCAGACAAGAGATTTCAGTGGAAGGTACTGCCGCAAGGCATGGCCAATAGCCCAACAATATGTCAGCTGTATGTGCAGGAGGCTTTGGAGCCAATTAGGAAGCAATTTACATCTTTAATCGTTATCCATTATATGGACGATATTCTTATTTGTCACAAAGAGTTAGATGTTTTACAAAAGGCTTTCCCCATGCTGGTGGCTGAATTAAAACAGTGGGGATTAGAGATTGCCTCAGAAAAGGTTCAAATTGCAGATACAGGGCTCTTTTTGGGCTCAATGATTACTCCCAAAAATATAGTTCCTCAGAAAATAGAAATTCGCAAAGACCACTTACAAACATTAAATGATTTTCAGAAACTTCTGGGAGATATAAATTGGTTGAGGCCCTTTTTAAAAATTCCATCTGCTGATCTAAAACCCCTCTTCGATCTCCTGGAGGGTGAGCCTCATATCTCCTCACCCAGAAAATTTACCCCTGCCGCCCACCGAGCCTTACAGATGGTGGAAGAGGCCTTACAGGAAGCACAATTACAACGTATTGAGGAGTCACTACCTTTTAATCTGTGTGTTTTTAAGACAGCTCAATTGCCAACTGCAGTCCTGTGGCAACATGGACCATTACTTTGGATTCATCCAAATGCTTCCCCTGCTAAGATTATTGACTGGTACCCTGATGCTGTTGCACAGCTCGCGCTTCGCGGAATAAAAGCAGCTGTTACACATTTTGGCAGGGATCCTGATTCCTTGATTGTGCCTTATACTGCTGCACAAGTTCAGACCTTGGCAGCCACATCTAGTGATTGGGCAGTTTTAGTTACTTCCTTTTCAGGACAAATTGATAATCATTTTCCAAAGCATCCAATTTTACAGTTTGCCCTAAACTAGGCTATAGTGTTTCCACAAGTGACAGCTAAAGACCCACTCCCAGATGGGACTGTGGTGTACACTGATGGATCAAAAACTGGTATGGGAGCTTATGTGGTCAAGGATAGGGTTATATCTAAACAATATAATGAAACTTCACCTCAAGTTGTAGAATGTCTGATAGTACTGGAGGTTCTTGAGGCTTTTCCAGGACCCCTCAATATTGTATCAGATTCCTCTTATGTGGTTAATGCAGTTAATCTCCTTGAGATAGCTGGAATAATAAGATCCTCCAGCAGAGTTGCTAACATCTTTCAGAAGATACAAGCTGCCTTGTTAAATAGGAGATTTCCTGTTTTCATTACCCATGTCTGAGCACATTCTGGACTCCCAGGTCCCATGTCCTTAGGGAATGACTTAGCGGACAAGGCTACAAAGCTGGTGGCCGCTGCCTTGTCTACCCATGCACAAGCAGCAAAAGAATTCCATAAGCGCTTTCATG